TTTCTACAGGGAAGATTGGGGAGTTACAAGGATTGGTGAATGATATAATTAATCTCCGAGCAATTGAGTCTTCTATTATTGGCTCAAGACTTTGTATGGCCTCCAGCTTTAGTGGATGTTAAGGGAATTTTGGAAGAGGCTTAGTAGGGTGTATTTAAATTTTAATAGGGTCTGCACTTTTTATTCTTTCCATACGAGCATTAGACACAGCTAATATGTCATTGAGTATCTCAGTTAAGTCAAGAACATTTTGTGGACTGTCCTCTTCCCCTGTATCTAGGACAGATGGTCACGTGTACAGGAGATCTGGCTCAGGTGAGTCAGGAAATTTCGGAGTCAAGTCTCTATTAGAGGCAAATCATATCAGGCCTTTTAGCTCAAACAGAAGGTCTCTGTCCAATAATTTGACCAGGATTGTGTTACACAGCAAAAAAAGAATGTTTTTCAGAAAAGGGCCTCGAGTCACTTGTACAGGTTGAGAAGCAAATTCTTCTTGAATTTGATTTCATACCTCCACAGCTAACATTTCCTTTTTGTTCCAAGAGAAAAGCTGTCTTGTAAAAGTGGGGTGTAAAGTAGAAAGAGTGCCTCAAGTATCTACTAAAATTGGATGAGACCTCCAGTGTATTTTTATCTTTGTCTCCTCCTGACTATTTAAATGCATCACTGGTAGTGGCTTACCATAGTTTTCCACAGAGGCCCATCAGTCCTGGTGGGTAACATGCATATGGCTACCAGAGGGTGGGCAGCTTGTTTTTAGAGGCCACCTTTGAAATCTTTGAGGGCAGTTTCTATTACCTTGCATTTCTTGTTTTCAAAGAAAATAACTTTTCAAACAAAAAAAAATGTTTGCACAAATGGCAACATTTTCTTGGAAACTGTTTTCTAAGGGTAACTTCTTAGGAAAGCACGGTGGTAGGTCCAAACGTCATTTAAATTGTTGATGCTATGGAGTTGCTTAAAACGCAAAATGAATGATTTGGAAGCTCTTCATTTCTCATCTTATTCTAAGGTCCTTTCAAAATATTCAGCTATAATCACTAATTCATCTAAACCTGTAGCTTCCTACCCTATCTTTTGTGTTTTTATGAACCAGATAATTTCAGGGGAGAGTCCATTTATAAAGGTGGTGGCTAGGGTTGGCTGGGTTGTATTATCCACTGTGTAGAAGGCAGAATGCTAAAGAAGAGAGCTTCCCTAGGTTTAGGAAATTCTTTATCTATAGCCCTAAGCTCGTTTTTTGTCCAAAGATCATAAGTCACTCAAGGACTATCTCAAGAATTCTCAGGTGGTTTTTTTCTTATACGGAAACTGTAAAACCATTTTTATTTTTCAGGGAAGAAAGGTAATTCAGACAGAGGATTAATAGGCTGTAAATACTCAGGGAAAGGAGAATAGAGCAGGGCAGTGGGACTCCCATCAATCATATAATCCTTGGTGTTGGAGATAGCCTGTATTTTCAATTTTTCATTAGCTTTTTGCAATAAATCTAAAAAAGCTATTTTAGAATCTTGTAATCTCTTAGAAGCTTCTCTCTGCCAATTAAAATACGCATCCCATTCCATCTTCCTAATTCAGGAAACGTGGGTTTCAAGTATCCTTTCAGATGAACAATCTTCTCCACTTGGAATGTTCCACATATGGCTATTGTAATTCTGAATTATCTTTGATAAAAAATTGCCACTTTTGTTAAGTATTCACAGCTTCTGGAGCCATAATTTTTATACTTGAAAAAGGAAGGCATACTGGAAAGTGGAGGACTCAGTCCTTTAGATGGTAGGATCCAATTTTTACATTGAATCTTGGGTCTCTCAGAGCTGAGATAAAAGCTTAAGGAGGAAACACCATAGGGCTTGGTCGTGTGCTATTTTCATTGCGTTCTTCATTGCATAGGAATTTTCTTGAGGTTGGCAGGTGACCTGGTATCATCTAACCCATCCATGACCAACTTATCCTAACAAAGAAGTTTTTTGGTAAGTGACAGGTCCACTGGCAGCTTTTTGGTGTCCAACTCAATGCCCACCAGTCAAGCTGTGGCTTGGCTCTGAGATTCCTTTGACCAACTTAGCCAATGATTTTTCCTTACCTTAGCCCGTAAGAATAAAAGCAATGAAGAGAAGGAAATCCAGTTTTCTGAAAACTTGTGAAAGATGGGGTCACCTTCTGGAAGTGACTGCCATTTACTGCAATTGCTCTCATTTACCTTTAAAACCAAAGCCCATTGATCATTGTGAACTCTCAAAATTATACACCCTGCCACAGTACAAATAAACTCTTGGGACCAAAAAGACAAAGAGTTAAAGGTGCTCAAATATAAAAGACAGCAGAACTTGGACCTGAGAGAGACAGAAAAAGAGAGAAAGTTGCTCATGACTTCCAGGCTCTCTGAGGAAGACAGTAGACTTCAAAGGTATCAGCAGTCTTTCCTTTGGGTCCCTTTGTGGGGTTATCAGAATTGTTAAAAATAAAATGTCATAAATTTAATTTAAAGATGTAATTGGCTTTTATTACTGACTCATGAACCAGAAAGCATTCCATCTAGAAATAGAGGGAAGCTCCACTGAACATATCAGAACAGTTGGTTTTTGTAAAGTAGATTGAGCAGGAACAAGAAAAGAGAGTAATACAAGAGCTAAGCAACCAACCAAACGACAACAAAAAAACCACATACACAAAACAAACAAAAAAACAGAAAGTAGAGAGGACTTCCTTATCATGCTGGCTCAGGTTGATTAGTCCCTTTCTGATTGTTTGCTGTGAATCTCCCATTTTTTTTTTAGAAAAACACTGGCCTTTTAGGGCATTATCTTCCTTCCTTAAAAAGTTTTGATTTGATTATGTGGTACTTAGCATGGACTATATTTTGATTTGGTCTGTTGGCGTCTAGCACAGGAGCTCAATCTAAAACAACGGCCTCCTATAAATCTTATTTAACAACCCCAAAGTCCAATTTTTTAAAAAGCAGAACAGCACAAAAGAATGGTGAAAAATAGCAAACTCTTCCTACCACAATTGGTACCCAGCGGATGATTTGGGGAGGGGAGAAGGTTAGGGTAGAACCAAAATGGGGGCTTTCCAGATGAGAACCAAAAAGGGGGCTTTCCAGATGAGAACCAAAAAGGGGACTTTCCAGATGAGAAACAGGATCCTATAACCTTGTCTTTCCAGGACTTTTTCCAGGCTTTCCCAGGTTATCACCTCTCTTCCCTCCACCTTCCACCCCAGAACTTTTCAATTCATTTTCTTTTATAAAAGACCGTGATGACTTTTCAATTTGGGATTCTAATCTGAAAAAAATGGCTCCCTGTGGTAGAGAATGTGAGAATGTAATCATTATTATCTATGCATTACAACAATCATATAAAATTATAATAATAAACACCCTTGAAACAACCACCCAACATGAAAATCATAATCATACGATTTTAACAAACTGAATACAAAATAACTTCAAATAACTGGGTATTCCTCTTCATAACCCATATTGGATTGTTTAATAGCATATAATAAAACAAAGTAACAATAACTTGAAAAAAAATAGTTAACCTTCTCAAGTGAAAGAAGTCTGGAAGAAGGACATCCAGAATTGAGGCTCCATGATGATCAAGGATCTCACATTCTTCTTTCATTTGCTTTGTAATCTTTAACTTGAGACTTTCATTTGCAAGATCCCTTTTTGGTCTAAGATGGCTCTAAGAGGTCCAGCCTTCACATCTGCATTCCAGACAGCAGAAGCTTTCCTGGAAAACTCACCCAACTATGTCAGCTTATAACTCATTCTCACCCCAACCCTGAGAAGCGAGAGAGAAATGTAGTTTTTCATTTGGGCACATTGCTCTAGAACTATTAGCAAGTATGAAAATGAGTATTTGTTACTCCACTCCAGGGTTGGCACCTGGCAATCTTGTGCCACATGCTTCATGCACAAATGCTGCTCAACAATGAAAAATATTTTCATCAACCCACATCTTTATCCTTCCCTCACTCAACTCCATTCCTCATGAAAAAAGGAAATTTTAGCCCAAAGTCCATCAAAGTTATGATTATGAGAAGTGGTAGGAAAAAGATGTCTTTTTTATAGATGTTCTTTTCTGAAGAATCTGACAGAGATTCATGTTCTTCTGGTCTCTGAACGCTGCAGGTGTGTCCAGGACTCTGGGAGATAGCACAGAGACCAGAGCAAGGGACATCCAAAGCTAGTTATCTGAGGATGGAAGGATGTCCTGACAAGAAATGTAAAGGCACACAATGTATTCTTCTTCTGGGCTTCTCATGGTTTTCCTAATCCTCTACTACAAGATCAGATTCTTGGTATTGGGATGGTGGGGTGACATTTTGTTTTATAGTATAACTCTCCATGTCCATTATTACCTAATTTGCAAGCTATTGGAGGTATTTGGCTGGGTGGGGTGGGGGGCGAGGAAGAGTCCCATCACTGAAATCACAGAGACATAGTTTTAGTTTTAACTGCTTAAGTATTTAGAAATTATCTCCACGAGAACTCATCCATTTAGTTTTCATCATTTGGAACTTGTAGGATACCACATCCAAACCAAAAAGAGTACTTCACTGAGGACACAGGTATTTCCTTAACAAGTTCAAACCTGAAACTGGGATGACATTTCAGATCACACTGCCCTTTTCTACCCCTCAAAAATTTGATACTCAGATTAAGAGTATCAACAGACTATTTAGGATTTAGAGAGGAAGATGCCTCCAAAACAAACCCACTTGGAATTTGTCGGTAGAGCCAAGGATTTTACCCACATAGGGGACCACAGGAAATGACCTACACTGAGATGTGTTTGGCATTTTTGAAAGCGGGCAACTCTAAGCTGGACATTTGGCAATGAGAGAGGATACAGAAAGGAAAACCTTGTTTTATCTGTTTGGGTGTCTTATGTAATCTTAAAAGTTATTAGCTGGCAGATACTACCTAGCCCAGGGCCTGATGACTAAGCTGGTTCTCGCCTTTCTAATCGGAGGCCTCTGCCACAAACATGCTCTGCCAGATCATCAGTCAGGCCAACATACATCCAAGCTTGATACCTGTTTTTATATTTGTTGGAGCTGGAGGTACGAGAGCAGCACTGTATCTCTTGTGTTTGGCATTATTCAATCTAGATGTTAGTTGGGACAGAAAGAATAACCCAGAGCCCTGGAACAAACTGGGTCCCAATGATCAATACAAGTTCTACTCAGTGAATGAGGATTACAGCATACTGGAGAAAGAAGGTCCAGATTTCTAAATGAAATGTTTCACTATAAAGCTACTTTAGAATGAAGGTCTTCCAGAAGCCATCTGCACCATTTTCCACTTAATCAGGAAATATTTCTCCTCTAAATGCATGAAATCATGTTGATGCAATCTACTGGAGATTACACTGATTAATAAAGAACTGAAACTTGGGGGAAAAAAAGCTATTATCCAACTTGATGCTCAAACTGGAGTCTGGAAATCTGAAAGATCATCTTCCTCTTTTCATGTGGCTCTTATTCCTGCTGGTCAATGGATTTCACTTCTCGTGGTAACATGTTGTTCAGCCATCAGATTCAGCTCAGTTCATATTCTGAATCATTGCTAACTCTAAGGGTACGTTTTTCTGTTGTGGCTACAGCATCATTATGGTAGCAGTTATAGCACAGATTGCAAAATACAAAGAAGAATCAAACTGCATTCTGTGGGCCCGGGAGAATGTCAGATGTGTATGTGCAAAAGGGAGGAATGGTAATGTTGCTTCATGCTCGATATCCTGGAGAGAGAAAAGGGTGACTTTCTTTTTTTTTTTTTTTTTTTTGAAATCTAAGTTTTTTAATACCACCTTTCAATCACTCACACGTATCTTTCTTTATATTTTAAAATACTCAGCCTCACTGCTTACTGAGTGCTTGCTGAAGGGAGAAAATTCCATTTTAAAGATATATTCACTTTACTGATTACTGTGTAATTTGAATTGAGTCATGATTTTTTAGTAAATGGAGGTGAGAATCTCAGATTAAAATCATCGTAGACCATGATTTAGAAGTCTACCAAACAGCTGGTTTCCTTCCATTGTTTTAGGATAACAGGAAAACATGAGATTGGGGTGGTGTCTGCTATTAAATGGAACCAGACAATATGAAATTCAATTCTCATGTTGAGACATTCTGTATTGTGGGATGTTAAAAGCATTTCCCAAACTTCTGTTTGACCTGCAGAATTGGAGATTCTCCAATTAACTTACCTCCCTATAACTTCAAGTTTGTTTCACAAAGCTTTGAAAAGTAAAACAGATAATTTCATTTTCAGATAATAAAAAATCTGAATAGCAAAATAATTGCTTTTAAATGTACAGCAGTGTCTATTCTAAAAACACAGCCTAAATCTATGTTAGAAAAACTTTTCAAACAATAATGCTTTTTATTAAATTCTCCAGTGGTTGACTTTCTTTTTAAGTTCCAGCTTCTATTTCACATAAGGCAAATCATCTACTTTTTGTACAATGAGTTGTGAAGTGGTGAAATGTATCTACTTGCAGAAAAATAATTCCATAGGTGTATAACTGCGTATATTCTTTGTAATTTATAGTCTATACACTGGGATAAAATTTAGAAATCATAAATCACTTTTTCTTATGACAGTCCCCCACCACAGATGTCAGACATCAACTTTTTCCTAAAATTTAAGTACTTTAAAAATAGGTTCAGAAAAAGGCATATTGCTTTTTTCCTTACTGCTAACAAGAAGGGGATCTTGATCTTCAGCAGCTTGCCAAACCAGAAATGCAAACTAATAGGTTATCTTCTTGTCTCCTCCTTTTCCTGAGCTTCTTTTAATTTCCCACTCAATATCTTCTTTTCCCTGCTTTTCTGTCTTCATTTCCATCTACCTTCTTTTCAAAAGGACTCACAATGACTTTCAAAAACATATTGTATCATGTGCACTGTGGTGGGCTGACTAATGCTCCCCAAAGATATCTATTTCCTGTGAATATGTCACCATACATAGTTTTTAAAAAGCCCTTGCAAATGTGATTAAGTATATTGACATGCAGAGATTATCTGGATTATATGGGTAGGCCCATTATAGTCACAAGTGTCCTTATAAGAAGGAGGCAGGAGAGTCACAGTTAGTAGTCACAGATGTGGTGATGCAAGTAAGGGGTTACAGTAATGCAAGGAAGTGGCTCAATGAACCAAAATGTGTGAGAGCCCTAAAAACTAATACAGACAAGAAAATGGATTCTCTCCTCAGAGCCTCAGGAAGGGACCAGCTCTGCTAACACCATGACGTTGGATTACTGGGACTGATTTTGGACTTCTGACATTCAAAGCTCTGAGATAATAAATGTGCGTGTTTTTAAGACACTAAAGTTTTGATAAGTTTTATAGCTGAAGCAGGAAACTAGTAAAAAAGACCGAGAACAGTTCCAGATTAAAGAGACAAAACAAATAAATGCAAAACATAATTCTGGATTTGATTTTGAATTAAAGTTTTTTTCTTCTGCTAAAAAGCATATTAGTGAGACAAATGATGAAATTTAAACAAGGGCTATATATTAGGTAACATATTTTATTAATATCAATTTCTCAATTTTAAAAATTAAATTAGGGTTGTATACAATGTCTAGAATGTCTCTGTGCTTAGAAAATAGACGAGGTAATTAGAAATAAAGGAACATTATGTCTACAACTTATTCTCAAGTAATCACCCCCTCATGCACACACAAATATTGTGAAAGTTATCAGAATCAAAATGGAGTCACTAATGTCAAGAAAATTCCAACAAATAAAGCCACAGAAAGCCATGAGTTCTCACGTTTCTATGGCTGATAACACAAAAGGCTCTACAAAAATCACAACTTTGAAAAAGGCCATTGCAATCGTAAACAAAAAATATTTCTGCACAGACATCTGCCCAGCAACTGCCTGTCCAACCTCAAAATAGTGTTGCCCTTGTGACAATAGTCGAGTATCTTAGTAGTCAAGTATCTTAATAGTCAAGAATAACTTCAAAACAATTATGGAAGCCTTTTTTTCTTTAAAAACCTTTGCCTTCCTTTAACTCCTTTAAGCACAAGTATAGTTTACTATCCCATGCATATTCTCACTGCAATGTTCTATTCCCAAATACACATTTTTTTTTCTTTTTGAGAGACTGTTACTTAGATTGATATATATGATATCAGAAGTGGTATCTCAAAAGATCACTATTGGAGGAAATTGGTGGCATTTGGAACCAGTGTGCAATACTCACTTGAGCCCTTTGATCCCTCCACTTCCACAGCTTACCTTTTTGGCCCTTATGAGCTGAGCCTCTTTCCTTTGGGCAGAGGCTTTTTTACTTTATTTGGGATCTGGTTTAGATAAGGCTGCTTTAACAAGGAATCTTACATCCCTTCTGGGCTATAAAATACTTTGTGTTCAGTCTTTTCTGGTACGTCCTTTCTGGTATAAAGACAAGAATACTCTTGCTTTCTACAGAATTTACATTCAGTCTGTGAGGCATGTCTTCTCTGGGTTGCATGCCTAGTTTAGTATTTCGTTCAATCCGCATACCTGGGTTAAAATTTTGTGAGTACTCTCACCTCGGCTTCCTTTGATTACATTTGACTCTTTTCCCTCACTATTTCTGAAAATTTTCTGGGAAGAAGAAAATAAATATCCTAAACAGTAGACACAGGATGGCTAATTAAAAGCCACTAGAGCAGTCACCAGCATCTAAAACACCAATTTAACCCTCTGAGATTCCCTGGATTTACAAGATTTATAAGGTTTTGTGCCCTTAAGGGATTAATAAGAAACAATGAAATTCTCAAATATCAAGGCATGCCAGGTTTCCTGGGACTCCAGCTGGCTACATATTATGGCCTATTCTTGTGCACATGTTTAAACTAATGGGAAAATTACATCAAAGAAAATTCAGAGCTCAAATGGTCATTATTTTAAAAACCTGCAACTATAGAGTTAACATGTAGTCTTTTAAGTTCTATATCTCTCTATTTTGTTCTTCCTACTTTAAATATGTTGGCTTTTCTACTGGTGGTGAAATAAAACTCACTGCTATCTCACTGCTCTGGCATTCCAGCCAAGATTGAAAAAAAAAAAAAGAATTCTTAAAGGGCTTTCAAATTAATGCCTTTACAAATTATAATAGCTCAACAGCAACTAACAACATAGACACCTTCCAAAAATATATATTTAGGTTTGCCTGATTAACAGTTGTATACAATGATAAAACACTTAATTCAAAAATTAATATTCTAAAAAAATTATTAAAATGCTTCCCTGCCCTCATGTGCTAATCAAACAAAACAGACCAGCAAACAAAAGACGGATTTGTTACTAATTCAAAGTACCTTGGAGATATTTTTCTGATACAATTCAGCTAGTCCTCCCCACAATGCAAACATTGAAAGTTTAAGCCTAAACTCATTTAAAACTGGGCAAAAAAGGAGTAAAAGAGATTTTTAAAAATCAAACTGCCCTGAAAAATGTTTTACCCAAAATTTTGGTCCACAGCCTTAATTACCAGAGCAAATAAAGTTTAGCCACATGAACAGGTTCCAATTTTATCAAAAATACAATTTGGATCCAACTATCTTTTATAAACTGATGAGTTTATATTATTATCCCTAACTAAAATTCTAAAATAAAAACTATAAGCTCTTTGTTTTTGTGTATGTATATGTCTAAATATATTTATACATATGTAGATGTATTGTGTTATATGTTGTGTTTACATGGTAAAATCTGGCTTAGTTGACCAAAATTCCCGTAAAAATTTTTATTTATATAAATGAGCACTCATATAAAATATAAAGTTATTAATCCAAATGCTTTTTAGTTCATATGACTTAAATAAATCTTTAATAAATAAGCTGGTTTTTAAATTATTGATAAAAATAAAAATGTCTTCAAAATTGTCAACATATATTTTCACCTGGATTTACTGATCAGACAGCTTTATATTTTTCTCTTATATAGAGAAGATAAACAAAACAAAAAATTAATTACATAAAATTAAATAATTGATACAAATAATATTCTTATGACTTTTATTTAAAGCATTGTTGGCTCTTTACTCAAATGTTTTGATTTCCAGATTTAAGAAAATTTTCTCTCATAACCTATCTGTAGTTTAGAAAAACTTGGGAAAGTATACTTTTGTAAACAAAGATGAAAATATTTGCTTTTTCTTCCTAGTTGATTCTCCAAAAATTTAAAAACCATTCATAAGTATTTTTATTTTTACTTACATAATTTCAGTTAACATCTGCTCTCTCTTTATAAACAAAATACCCTTTAAAACTTTGGTTATATTACCAAGGCTTTAACTAAAATGTCATATTTTTAAATGCACATAAAATGCCTGCCTTAAGAATTCTCAGCCTTAAAATGAGTAAATAAAAAAATTGTCACTTCCTGTC